ATTCACATATTTGCCCAGATGGCCCCTTCGGATCAGATCCTCAATGGCTGTTTGTAGGGCCCTGCAGGCATTGGTGGCATGACCCTTTCTGTTGTGATATTTACAGAAAGCATTGTCATCCGCTCCCATGAACTGTCCAGAATCAGTCGGGATGGGAATATTGTCCCTCTCGTGCTGATAGATGGTCGCTATTGATAGGACCAGGGGTGTAAATCTCCCTTGTTTGGGAGGTAAAGCGGCCGCTGGGCTAGGACCCAGCCGATCGGCCATTCTGATCGGGGCAGCAGGCGTAATGACCTTATCCCTGATCATTATCTCCTCTTCTAGGGCGGCATGCTTGCGAGCCCTATCTAATACCTCGGCGTACGCCGTACCCGGATTTTTCTTCAACTCTTTATACAACTCCCCCGTTCGGAGAGCATTTGTGAATAGGGTAATGGCGGTATCATCCGTCATGTTTCCCACCGTTAAAGTTTCATCCCTCCACCTTTTCAGGAATTGATTGAGGGTCTCTTTGGCGTTTTGCTTCACGCTGGTCAAATAGCTGAAATGCCGTTTGGGATTGGGAGTGGAAGCAAACTGAGCCAAGAATAACGCTGATAACTCGGCAAAGCTGTTGATTGACCCGGGCTGCAGTGTCCCGAACCACTCCTGGGCAGGCCCCCTGAGCGTGCTGAAAAACAACCGGCAAATGGCGGCCTCGGGTGCTCCTAGCAGCATAAGTCCCCCTTGGTAACTCCTCAGATGTACGTGGGGATCTCCCACCCCATCATAAATTTGGCCGGTCGGGGGCTTGGCACCCCCTTGGATATCTGCGTACATGAGTTCCCTAGTAAACGGGGAAGTAATTCCCAGCTGAACTGGGGCAGGTTGTACAGGTACCCTGCTCATCTGGTCCCGCATTTCATTCATTTGCCTCCTCATCTCGGCCATTTCTTCCTCCTGGGCCGTCAAAGGGGGCGGTGGTGGAGCCCTCATATCCGTACAGTCCCGGTCCCAATGCCGCTGAGGGGCCCTAGTATTTTCCCGCTTGGCATACTGGAACTGATGACCAACGGGAGTTGGTCCTCTAGCTTGTGATCCGACCAGGGTTCGGTCACTGGGACTGTGGTGCGTTGTTGGTTGGGCGTTACGTCGATTATCCCGATGGACATGTGAACAGGATGACGCCGTGGTTGTTTCCGTGCGTGGGGTCTCCCCTGTAAAGCTGGAACCTCCTTCCTCTTCGTTCGCCATATGCTGCATGACCTGGGCCATGTCACGCATGGCCTGAGGATTTCTTCTCAGAGATTCAGGAATCACAAAATCCCCATCGAAACGAGGATGCGATCCTCGACTGCATTGTCCCTGAGGGTTTTGACTCCCCGGGGTGTGACTCCTCCCGTGACGGCGTGAACCGTCGTTTGTATGATAGGAACTGATTCTGACCATTTTTGGAAAATAGAGGTTTTTTGGATGATTTGAAAGTGAAACTTTTTGCAAGTTTCCCACAGACGGCGCCAATGTTGAGGGTAAATCCCGTAGATCCGAAAGCACAACACGAACTTTGGATATATCAGGAATGGCACAGAATCAAGGTGTGTAACAAATATAAGATCTGAACTAACTAACACTCGAAAGCTCACTTGTATTAATTAACCAATCTGATTACAAGGAATTTACCGATCGGTAGGTCGAAAACTATGCTTTAATACAATAAATAAGAGCAATGATGTTATTCTAGAGCCTGAGTATTGAAATGCTAACTCTTACAATGACTTGAAACCTTCTATTTATACTAATGGAGAGCATGAGCTGCCTCATGCTGATTGGCCGTTGTTCCACCGACTTGGTCATCCATGCTTCCACTTGCTGATGTCACAGTCTCGCATTAATTGCACCTGGCCACTTGCTGGTTGGCCGTTGCTCGAACGGGATGTTGGGTTGTACTGGAGATGCTGTCAAATTGACCCAAGTACGATATATAGCCCGAACCTCGTTCGGTATGTCTTCTTACTGGGCCAACCTTTATTTGGGCCGAACCTCGTTCGGCATGAATTCTTTACTGGATCTATTCATCATAGAATGATGGGCCCGTTGCTTGGGCCGGGTATCTTGGGCCTTCTCGATCTGGGTATTGGGCCTCTAGGTCAATATCCCAACAACGCCGTTGTGCGCCTTAAGGCCATGCGCGTGCTTGGTTTTCATGAGTGCTCTAGAAGTTTTGTCATGCTTCATGGAGGCGGCCCCACCTCACACTCATATAGGTGATATCATCAAGTGTGTACCGCTGTTGCACACCATCCTTAAGTTAAAGGCTATGATAATCATTAAGAGCTTTAAGCTCACCCTCTCAAAGAATGCGGTTTCTAGCCTATATCTCACATCATGGAAATGGGTGATTTTAGTTAGGCTAGCAGAACTAAATGGAAGACTTGTTATTACCCATATGAACTTGCTTCATGGGATCTCCAATCACACAAGTTGGGTTCCCATCCCCATTTGTTTCAAAGTGACACTAGTCCCATTTCCTTCGATGTTTCGGTTATCATTTTTCGTCCTAGGGATTCTGTTAAAGGAGTAGCTAATTCCTTCCGACTTCACAAAATTAATGGAAATAATTCCATTCTCAAACATCATTGCACCACTTTTAAGGGTGAATGGATATCCACTATTTTAATTTATCTCATTTGAGTATACTCAGATGTCGTCGTTGTATCTCGGCAATACAACGGATAACTTTCAATAAAATATAACATCGATGTCACCTTCTAGTACATCGGCTAATTCTCAATAAAATATATACCATCATTGTATCATTATAGTACAATGGATAATTCTCATATAACATCATTGTACCGCTTTAGGACAATGGATATTTATCAATAAAACGTATCATCGTTGTATCAATAGATTACAACGGATAATCTCAAAAAAAATACCATAATTAATGGTACCTCTCAAATATCTCAATAACCACCTCAACGCAGTCCAATGATCCCTACTTGGGTCATGAGTATATCAGCTCAATCTTCCGACAACATAAACTATGTCGAGCCTAGTATAATTTATAAACTGTAATAAACATCCAATAATTTGAGAATACTCATATTGAGCCTCACGATCACCTCTATTTTTTTTAAGTGCATATGAAAGTCATAAGGGATACTCACGTGTGTGACACTAAAATATCCAAACCTCTTTAGAAGTCTATCACCATAATGCTCTTGAGATAGTAAAACACCATCATCCTTCCTTGTGACTTTCATATATACCCAAAATCATTTTTGTTAACCCCAAGTCTTTCACACTAAAATTAACAAATCATCCACATACAAGCAAACAATAATGCACACACCATTTTCACATTTAGTGTATTCACACTTATATCTACTTCTCATAAGCGAATAACACTTCATCAAAATTTTCACATTTGTGTTCCTAATCAGTAACTACATGACCTTCCGGTTGCACCATATAAATTTCTTCCTCTAGTTCACCATTTAAAAATGCAATTTTAATATCCATTTGATGAATAAAAAGTTTGTGAATAAGTCAAAAGTTCATCATTAATAAGATTAATAAGGTATGAATAAAAATCATTTCTAAAGGATTTCTCTATCCTTGGCCTCTTACTTCTTCTCAAAGGAGAAGGTTCATCATTAAAAGAATAATTTTCTTTTAATGCATCACTACCACTAGAGGGTTCATCATTAAATGTTTTATTTCCTTGTAATGGATCACAATCACTATATGGCGCAACGGTCTTGTGTTCAATTTTCAAAGGAAACACATTCTCAAAAAATTCATCATTTTTTTGTTTCAACGGTGTATAAACAAATAATCATACATGCATCATTTAGTGTGTACACATTCTCCAAAAACGGTCACATTAATAACATCAATAATATAGCATAAAGCATTGCACATTAGCACACTATTTCTTTCTTTTAAGAAAATCATATATATGCTCCACTATTTCAATTTATGCAAAAGTGACAAGAGTTATAAATCTCATTTTCACTAAATGAAATAGGTAATAAAAATTTAGCTCAGCACCCCCACAATTTTAAATATTTAAACACAGGTGCATAACCCTTCTAGAATTCATAGAGAGATAATTTATATCTCAACCTTTAATTGTACACAATGATTTTATCAAAAACTCGCCTTTAAATTTAAATAAGATAAAATTTAGTTTATCTCGAAAAATCATCAATAAATATGACAAAGTTTTTTTTTACCACCTCCAAACACAGTGTAGATGCTCTAATAAAATTTATATAAATTCATCAATTTTATCATAATTTTCTAGAGCTGCTCCCATATCACTAAATATCAATCTTAAGATATTTAGGAGTTTCATAAATCAAACAAAAATAAAGACCAACAAAAAATTACCATACGTCACATCTATTATAACACAATAATTAACACAATGTAAGTACGCAGAAGCATCATCATGCAACATTTTGGAAATACTAAGCACAAAAAGTCCATTCTTACAATAGCCATTTCCCACAAGAACGTCAATTTTGGTCATAACAAAATTGTCATAATCAAAAGAAACTTTAACCCCAACTTTTCCCAAGAGAAAACCGGAAACCAAATTAGTCCGAATCTCGGGCACATGAAACACATCATTTAGTGATAAAGTTTTCCCCGATGTGAGATTCAGAAAAACTTTCCCTTTTCCATGCACCTTAACAGTTTTAGAGTCCGCTAGGTACACGAGCTCTTCACCATCGCCTATAATAGTATAGGAGGTAAAAACATTTTTTTTACAAATATGTTTGGTAGTTCCGGAGTCCACCACCCACTTATTCACATCACTAGTTTTACAACTTTGAGAAACAACCGCAGTAAAATTATCATCACTACAAACCAAGTTTAAACTTGATCTTAGTGGGTTGTTGTTTTTCATAGTTGTCATTTTATCACGAAATAAATGAATACCATTTTTTGTTAAAAAGTGGTGTTAAAGTATGGCGTATTGTAAGTAGGAAAGTAGAGAGACTAACCACTATACGCAAAAGACTTTTCTGAGCGTTAATCCGATTAATACGGCTCCCCATGCGGGTGTATCACAAGCTACTTCGCAACGCACAAGTAGAGATAACATAGCTCCGATGAGTGCGGCGACAACGCCTTGTGAGTTGATATGTGCAGGCATATCCGACGCGAATTACTTTCTTGAGATTGTTGGAGGAAATTGGCCGGATAAACCTGCAAAACAGTGTTAGAAAAATAATATAGCTCGAGTCGCGTAAACGCTGTCCTAAAAAAAAGTATTTCCGACTAGCGAAAACCTTTCCCCAAGATAAAACGAGCTCTTCGGCGTAAGCCGGTAATAGAACAACGAGAGTCGAATAATATAATTAATCCAGCAGTATGTGATTGAACCAAAATTTTGTAAGTAAAACTTTGTTATGTATGAACATATCTGAGTAAATCATAGGGAGCTTCTTCTTCCTCCTCTTCGTACTATCCATGTAGTACATATATACTCCCAACTCCTCAAAATAAAGGAACCGTTCAAAATTTTGGCAGCATTAATATGGTAATAAATAGAATTAATACAATAACATTAATAAAAAAGATTCTTAACTGATGGACATAAGAAGAACCGGTGTTGCTTCCAGGAGGAAATGAATTTGTTCATTAACCATATTAATTAATAGTCAACAAACTATCCCAAGTGTTGTAACGTTCAAACATAATTATTATAATTATAATTTTATTATGTATAAGAGATGTATAAGATTTATTATTAAATTAGTGTGTGAAAAATAATTAAAGGAAATAACATTTTATTCATTTGAAATACTCTCAATTTTTCCAACATAATAATAATAATAAAACAGACTACACATTATGCAACTCAATTAAGACAAATAATCCATTTATTTTCATTTCTCCTAATGGGCTATACGTTTAGTGTTTGTTTATCTCATTTTTTCCTTTCATGTTGTTACATACTACTCTACTTGCTTGAATAGAAGTAATTGCGTGTAATTTTCTACTTCACACCAACTTGACTTGTTGTTTGAGAAGTGGATATTGAAAAGCATAAATTCTACACTTTTAGTTGCTTGGGAACAAGGTGTGTGGACAAAATTGTAAAGCATTGTCTCATGGAACATATACAGATGTCATAAACACTTAAACCAGCAAAAAAGAAATTCCTTCAAATTGAAACACCTAAAACAGTTCGTATGGGCATTTCGATCAGCAAACACATAACAATCATAGCTAAAAGAAGGGGTAAAATGATAATAAAAACAATCTAAGATTATGTAGATGAAAGAAACATTACTTCCGAAAATGAGTCAAACTACGAATACAGAAACATATAAGCAAGAGGAACGAAGCAAAGTAAACCATACAATTGAAAAGCAAATATGTCTCCATGAAACTCCAAGAGATATATCTCTATGCTCCTAGAGAGGATACATAACTTACAAAAGAATGTGGCGAATTTCAAAATCTGTTCAACACCTGGTGTGAAGTATTTATAGGTGGAACATCGAGTATTCTTGAGCTTCTAAATGGCCGTTCGGCTTCCATGGAAGTGCCAACACGTTTCTGAACGGAAAATGAAGAGGATGGATGGATGGCTGGGTCACACAGTAAAGAATAGAATATGTAATTGAATGTCGGAAGCTAAGGTACAATTATTCCAAAATAAGAACCGTCTTTAGACAGACATATTCTGCCACTCCTTTGCTTGACATATCATTTCGGGGTGAAGTAAATAATGTATTCTGTACCATCGTCAAATGCACAAGGAGACACCAACATTTTTTCTATGACAATTAAATCCCTAACAATATTCATGTTTATGGGAATGTAGAGATAGAGATAGAGATACAAACTAATTCAACTCATTTTTTTCTAGATTTTTTTAGTACATGCAGTTTTAGTGCAATTAGGAAATTAAGTGAAGTTGATGTTTTTCAATACAATTGGGAAGTTATAAATTAGTAAATTGCATGTAAACTAATGTTTACTAAAATACAAAATTACGTGATCTATGAAAGAAACTAAACTTACATAAATTTAGGTATATCTTCCGGTAATTTAGTTCTAAATGTTAAACGTGATTCTAATATCTATATTAAAAGGAGAAATTAAAGTATTATGATGTATGAGTTGCTCAGAGCATGACATGTGGCAATAATTTCCGTAATTATAGCCTTAAAATGTACTATTTATATATTGTAGCCTTGAAATGTATTATATATATATATATATATATATATAAATATAAAATATGTATTCATATTTTATATTGAGAGATTTTCCCAAATAGGACAAAAAATGTCATTTTCAAAAAATAAGATCTAATGTTTAGAATTTCATAAACAAGACTTTTTATTTTTAACTAGGCTTAAATAGCTTCATAGGGTAGGAATGGTGCTTCCCCATGTCAGTAGACTGCCACCAGACTGTCTCCTGTCAATTGTTTGTCAAATGTCGGTGCCGCCGTTCTGTCAGAGACTCGTCATTGCCGTTGGAGTTCTCCACCGCCACCACTGGATTGATCCGCCACCAACGGATCCATCATGGTTATGTAAGTGAACCATGGAGCGATTAATTATATTAATTGATTAAATTAGGATTATAAATGTAATGTTTAATCATATTTAAGGGAAATCAAACATATGATTCTATTTTGAAGAACGCTACTCCGTATATTCTTTGAGAAAGTTGTTCAAAATAAGACTTAAAACATAACATTCTTCCAAAAGTAGAACCATATGTCTGGTTATCCCTAATAAGACTAATAATTTCATCTCTACCTCTAACTTAATTAATTAACCTAATTAAATGTTTCTCTAACTCCCTTGCACAACTAAGGTCACTGCGTCGGTGGCGGTGGCAAACTCCGACGAAAAAAAAAATTGCCTGATCAACGGAGGAATTCTGGAAAATAAATTCCTGCAGCGACCAGTGGTCCGGCGACCTGGGCAACCTCGGGGCAGCAACGACAACCCTATGAGGGTATTTTGATCTAATCAAGAAATCCTATTTATGACATTTCAAACTAGTAGATCATATTTAAAATGTTATGTTTTAGTCCTATTTGGGTAGATCTCCCATATTTTAGATTTGTTAGTAATATGTTTTGTTGTGTCCAAATATATACTACACATATCTTAGAGATGTTACCATGAACAATTTGTATTCTATCTAGGTTTAAGTATGTTTTTAGTTAAGCGTGAAATAACCCAGCGGTTTGTCTCCCTCGTCTGGTAGGTTTTTGTGGGCACCGTCAACCATATGCTAGTGCGGCAGTTAGAAGTGTGATTTGTCCTCTTCGTTTCATTTTTTGGCTTCTCCCCCAATTGCATTAGTTTGTCTATCGCCGCTTTGCATTTGACGATTGTTTTAAGATATTCTTCACAAGATTTCTTCTGCAGGTTTGGTCGGTCGATACTTGTGATTTGACATATTTCATCGAATATCGACGAGTTAGCTTGGGTGAAGCGACAACGGGATGGATGCTCAGCAGATCATTGCAGATGGCGGTGCAAGATCCTTGTAGGGGAGGTTAGCCTTTGGGGAATCAAACTATGGTGGTGGTCTCAATACTCTTGGGAAGCAGTTAGAGGCATGGGACGGTAACTCAATATTGGGGAGCGACGGGTTTCGCGAAGGTCAGCGTTCGGCCAACAATGGAAGATCAATCAAAGCCAAGCCGTATTGATGACCCGACCTCCTTGTGACCACAATCATGAGTTGAACGAGGTGCTAGGGTTCACGAAATTTATCATATTTGTTATTGTTGTTTTATTGTTTAGATTCATGTTAAAGTCTATGTTGATAGGTTTGTCGTGATGATTGGAAATTTAGCTTATTCTATGTCGTTAAAAGTATATGGATCTATAGGACTAGTGATACCTATGTCAAACCCGTCTCGTGATTAGTGATTCGTGTCGTTCTTTTAGGGACGACCGTTTCTATGTCTAATCGTAGGATTTACCGTCGTAGTTGGTGGATATTAGTTGATGTCAGGGATGAATTTTCTTTGATTGATGTAATGATTCTGAAACTAATGATCACTATTCTAAAAATCGGCCTAGTCGGACCGATTAATCAGCCTAGTTGGTCGTAACTGTAGAGCACTAATCGGCCTAGTCGGCCAAGGAATCGGTCTAGTCGGCCAAGAAATCGTCCTAGTCAGCCGCCTAGGCGCTAGGCGCCCCTCAACTACCCGACTAGCGCCTAATGAGTTTTAGAAAAATGCTAATGATATGAATATACGTGATTTCCTTTCAAAAAAAGTGTGTTTTTAGTTCCTGCAAATATGACACAATATGCTTTACGTCCTTGTAATTTTGTTTTTATTGTTTTTCATCGTTGTAATATGCATGGTTTTGTTTTTAGTTCATCTCTAACTCTGAAATCATTATACTTGAAAAAAAAGAAATACTATCCTTTGTATCGCAATAATTGCAACATTGGAATATATACACTATTTATGTACTTTACTTTGACTACATTTTATTTATTAATGTATGTGAATTATTTTTTTTGAAAAATATTGTTAAATTCATCTCATTACTAAGTTTTATAATCTGATTTTTATTTTATTTTTACCAATACAGAATTAAATATAATGACGGTCAGAGTTGTGCGTTGGCAAACGTGAAATGTCGACTGTTTCAACTAAAAAAAGACGGAAGAAGTAATTGCATATTTATGACTAAAATAAAGATTATTTACAAAAATGTGACTAGTGACTAAAGTAGTAATGAAATAACAGTAACTTATGTTCATCTTTTAAACTTAAGTTACTATGACACTACATTATATGGAGTGGTACCTAATAATCATATTTGTGTAAATAAGTCTTATTTTAGTAATATTTATGTAAAAAACGAAAAAAAATTATTCTAAGTTACATAAATCTACTTGAAATATTAAAATCTATCCGTTTATTTTTTTTTGAGAATGATATGAGAGTTAAAACAATACAAATCTAATTGTTCACATTTTAAAAATATATATTAAAAATCTTCTAAAAATAAAAATCAAATAATTTTTGAATACCATGATAAAGAATTAGAGGAAACATATTAGTCAGAGTTATTTTGAGGTCAAATGGAAATTGTTATTATCAGTTATGGACTGAAAAAAATCAACATAAATTTTAGAAATGATAAACAAAAAATTAAATTTACATAAATATTATATTTCGTTCTTTAATAATTGCAACAATTTGACTTTTACATTTGCCAACACACAAATATGACTGTAATTATATTTAATTTCGTTTTAGTAAACATCATAAAAACATAATATTTTGAAATTCAAAGCAATAAAAATTTAATGACATTTTATACATAAAAATTTATAATAGGAGTTTTTTCTGGATCGATGCTAATTAAATAAAGGGAAAAGTACACTTTACATACCAGTTCATATACCGTGGGAGCAGCCCACGGTGAGCATGCTGCTCCCACAGAAAAAAACGTGTTACTGTTCACGCGCGTGAACAGTAACTTCATGTTTGTTTTTCCATTGTCCCAGTAGCGGAATAGGTGTAACTCGCGTGTAACAAAATGTAACTCACGCTAATAAAAAATGTAACAACAAGCAAGTTGAAATGTAACTTGTCTAATACGAATTATAAGAAATAAAACATTGATTTTAATGAAAACAAGGAGTCTAATTGCTCAATTACTTTATTTAAATAGTTTATATGTTTTGTTTTAGTATTAATGACATAAAAATGTTTTTTTTATCTTTTTTTGCCAACAAATCATTTTTTGGCCGAAAACTCATTTTGATTTTGTAAAAAAGAAGTGATTTTTTTTATTTAATAGCAAGGGTTAACATAAATGGTGAATATATATTTTTTTAATATTAAGTCCATAAAATTTTTTTCAAAATATATTTTTTGCCAAAACACATTTTTTTGGAAACATTTATTTTTTTGCAAAACAACGATTCTTTTGTTTCAATAGTAGGCTTTATGTTGTGATGTAATTCTTATTACAGAAAATGTAACTCGCGTTGATTGAAAATCTAACTTTAGTGTATGCAAATTAAAATGTATCTTGTTGAGGAAATTCAAATATAACTCGCGTATAAAAAGATGTAACTCACGCACAAGAAGATGTAAATCGTGCATAAGAAGATGTAACTCTATATAATATCAAATTTAATTATAGAAATTGTCTATAAATATAACTCACACATACGAAAAATGTATTATTTTCATGTTTTTTCAAATTTAAATTGAAATAAACAGCCTTAATGTCTATAAAACACAAAAAACATATAAAAGAGATGAGAAATATATTATAGAAAAAAGTACATGAATGTAAAAAATATTTTACAAAAAAAGTGTATAATAAATATTAAAAAAGTATACAAAGTAAGAAATAGTGTATGAATATGACATACAATATACTTATTTTATGTGAATAAATAAAATTTTGTATTAAATTGGTAAAGAAAAAAATTAATTCAGTTAGAATTTAATTAGTTCAAGATAAAGATAAGTAAAATATCACAAATAATTAGATGTAACTCGCGCATAAAAGTATGTAACTCGCGCATAAGAAGATGTAACTCACGCATAACAAGATGAAACTCACGCATAATAACATGTAACTTGAGTATAAGATGATGTAACTTCGTATATTATCAAATGTAACCCAAGCTAGAATCAAAATAAACACTCAATAAAAAATATTGAATGTATGCATATAAAAATATATTACAAAAAAATATATGAATATAAAAAGATATTACAAAAAATAGTGTATGAATATGAAATGCAATGTACTTATCTTATTTAGATTATTAAACTTTTTGTTATGTATTGATAAAGAATAAAAAAATAGATTCAATTATAATTTAAATTGAAGATAAGAAAAATTAAAACTGCAATTAAATTTTTAACATTTTAATTTGATGAAAATGGAGAAGAATTGAAGAAAAGAAAAATAAATAAAGAATAGCAAAAAAGGGAAGGAAGAAGCTCTAGTAAGAAAAGAAAACAGCGCAACTTGACAAAAGTGAGATCGGCACACCATGCGGAAGGTGGGCCGATCCCACGTTATAATTTGCCTTTACATACCTGTGGTTGTGGCCGTTTGCAATCAGGGGTCTGTGATGAACTTTGCAACAAATCCAAGCTTGTGCTTTCCTACCATTACCACCCGTGGGGTCTAAGCGACTGGACCGTTAGTAATACACTACGTGGCATTTTTTTTTTCAACTAAGCTCCAATGAAGATGTATTATTTTAATTACTTAAAAATGCAAAAGTTAAGTGAAATTAGGGCTGAAGAAAACCCAATTACAATTAGGTGAAATTAGGGCTGAAGAAAACCCAATTCTTCCTCCCATTCGATTCTACACCTCCGGTTGGGAAAGAATAAAGATTGTTGGTCGAAGCAGACAAAGGACAATAACGCAAGCACTGGCAGATGGAATTGTAGTTTTTTGTCCTTAGAGTCTTCACGTGAAAGTAAGTACTCCAATAATTGTTTCTTTGGTTTACATATTTTGGTTAGGGTGTGACGCTTGTTGGAAAACCTGGTTGGTAGGTAAATTAATGTGCGAATGGGTTCGTTGGAAGTGTTAATGGGTATGTGTAGGTTGTGTTGCAGTTTAAATTTTCATTCTTTTTTGGTATTGAAGTGTAGTTTTTCCGCATTGAATATATGTGCAGGTTTGGTATGAGTGAGTACGTGAATTTGTTAATTCACCATGGTGGAAAGTGGGACTGTCCAAAAGAAAAGAAAAAGTATGTGGGAGGCCGTGTTTTGAAAAAAGATAAAGTTGACATTGACTATGTGAGCAAGTTCGAATTGGAGGGATATGCAGCAGATTTGGGTTATACAAATGGGGTAAAAATCTGGTTTAGAAGATTCTCAATTAGGGAGTTGTGTGGACCAGTCACCTTGCAAGAGATAGTGTGTGATAAAGATGTTCAAGACATGTTGGTGTGTAACATAATGGAATTGTTTTTCCACTCCTGCTGGGGACAAATTGTTTGAGGTAGATTTTTATGATACTAGCCATGTGGTTAATCTAAAAGACAGGACTTGTACATGTCGAAGGTGGGACTTAAATGGCATCCCTTGTAAGCATGGAGTGTCTGCTATATATGCAAACCGAGAAAAACCTGAAGACTATGTAAGTCCTTTTTATGCTAAATCCACCTACTTAGCTGTGTATAAACACATTATCCATCCTCTGCCAAGTAAAGATGAGTGGGAGAGGATAGAGAGTCCAGATATTGTGCCCCTAATCCCTAGAAAACCTGCAGGAATACCAGAAAAGAAGAGGATTAAACAACCTGATGAAACAAGGAATCCTTTCAAGGTGTCTAGGGCAGGTAAGCAGGTGATTTGTGGCAACTGTAAGCAAGTGGGACACAATGTTAGAGGGTGTAAGACATCCATAACTGGAGAAACACCATGGCAAAGGAGAAAGAGATTAGGAAAGAAAGAAAATGTCCAAACAGAAGCAGAGGGTGTTGATGATATTTCTGAACCAACCTCCCATGAGCCACTTCAGACAACCAATAATGACAGTGAATTGACAACTCCCATGACCCATGATCCGGTTTCCCAAAGCACTGGAGGAAGAACAAAGAAGAAAAGGAGAATCAGCACTTCACAACCACCCCAACCATCTTCCAAAAGAGTAACTAGGTCCTCAAGTACACAGCCCTCAATGGTAATTGTATGGACTGCATTGTTACTCTTGTAATGTGTTGTTTTTACACTTATTATGATGTTATTACTTTTTTCAGGGCACACAAAGTTGAGGATTAACTGACAAGAGACTAGAAATGTTGCAGTTTTGTTGTGGGGAGAAGAAGAATGGTGCTTTAGTAGACATGTTTAGATATCAGTATATGAACTTTTAAATCATGCCTTAGTAAGCATGTGTTTTGTAATGATACTTATGTAAGGAACATATTTTGTGGTTAGCATATGTTCTGAAGTTGTTGTAGGTCAGTGTTTTGGTATATGTTCAGTTTTGTATTTGTTGGATGAATTTCGTATGTGTTGGATGGAAAGTATCTGTTTACTTTGGTAATCTGTTTACTCAAACCATATGTTCTGTTTTAGGTAAAGCCAGAATCAATCTTTTGGGTTAAGAATTTCATACCCAAAAGAAGTTGTTCTGTAACACCACAATGACATTAAAGAAGTTCACAGCACTCCCAGTATATCTACTATAACATTGACCAAAAGAAGATGTGGAGAAATAAACTGCTATAACATTAAACAAGTTCACACAAATTGTTACAGCCAAAAACTTCATACAATCTGACATCAACCCTTACAAGGTTCTTACATTGGTGCATTACATTGGACATCACTCACAACAAAACGCCTCACATGAAATTAAACTAAAGGAATCTCCAAACACAATTACACATGGTTTGGTCATTTCATCGAAAACTTAGCAAAGAACTTAGACCTAAAATCTTCTACTTGCAAAGAACATGAAAATTAACATGGCCAGACAGAGCAGCTTCCACTTAAAAGTGACATTATGATTCTTAGACATCCGCAGTTGCAGTTCCATGGTCTGAACCTTCGACACACCAATTTCACGCACACAGTTCTTTATTTGACCCTCCATCTCCAACTCTTTCATCTGGACATATTCTTCAAGTCTTCTGACCTTCTCAATAACAGCATCTAAGTTATGCAGACAAGTACAACATGTATCTTCTTCAACCCACTAAAAAAATGCATTGTTGTTCGCCCCCTCGAGAATAACGGCCGCAAGCATGAAACTTTTTCCCCCGGTTCTTCTCTGTTGTCGTCGTCCAAATAGGAGCTTGGACTCCACAGCCGCACTTCTTGATTTGTTGTCTTCCATCCATCGCACATGAGCTCGAATTAGAAGAACTCATCTCTTCAAATTTGTATTTGTGTTTGTGGAAGAGGGGAATGGATTTCGTATGCCTATATGGTCCAAATAGGTTAACACGGTATGGACTAGGGATAAAAAGCCATGTAATCACACATGGTGTTAATAGATTGGGATTAAAAGCCACGTAAGCAAAAAAAAGTGGCACGTAGCGTATTACTAACGGCCCAGTCGCTTAGACCCCGTGGGTGGTAACGGTAGGAAAGCACAAACTTGGGTTTGTTGCAAAGTTCATCACAGACCCCTGATTGCAAACGGCCACAACCACAGGTATGTAAAGTGTACTTTTCCCTTAAATAAATTAATCCCAAAATACTGTCGGGTTAAAAATAATTCCCAAAATACTGTTGCAATTAAACGCGGTTAAGGGAAGCCGCCACTTGAATTGGCGCTTCTTCTACACAGTACAAAAGTCACCAATCCAAGTGGCGGCTCTTCTGCACTGTAAAACCAACCACAACTCATTCAACCAAAACAAACAAAAACCTGCTCCTTAAGGTCCTGTGAGCTCAGAAAAATCAAACAGTTACTCTTTGTAATCGATATAGGTTGCTAAAAACATAACATATCAAAGACACAAAACGAATCAATGAAACTACATTGGATCACAAAACTAGAAATATCACATAAAGTTGATAATAAATTCAGTGTTTCAAAAAATAATTCGATCAGGTAGTTCATGTTTCACATAATAATGTAAAGTACAAATATCACAAGTCAACGTGATCATCATCATTCATCATAAAGCTCATGAGGCTGTGGTTGTGCCTGTGGTCGAGGGTGTCTGTGCCGGTTACGAGGCTGAAGGACCACTCTATCACGTCGTAGTGTCTAGGAAGAGGTGTTGTGGATGTAGATGTCATGAAATACTGAGAGGCGGCCACATATCTATAGTCTACTCAGCCTAGTACATCAGCACACAGTGCAGTAATGCCCGAGCATACCTCATCGCCTGTGTTTGTAATGAAAGCATGGTTATTAGTGGTCAACACATTAATAAATAAATAAATAAAGTGATTTATGTGAATATATTGTGCACCGTAAATCCAGTGCAACCTATATTGACTATAAAGAGCAGTTGTTTGATTTTTCTGAGTTGACTGGACCGTAAGGAGCAGTTTTTTGTTTTTTTCGGTTGAATGAGCTATGGTTGGATTTACAGTGCAGAAGAGCCGCCACTTTAACAAACAACCTTTGTACCGTGCAGAATAACCGTCACTTCAAGTGAAGACTTTTCTTAACTTGTTAACTCCATCACTATTTTGAGAATTATTTTTAATCTGACAGTATTTTGAGAATTATTTATTTAATTAGCATTAATCCGGAAAAAACTAATTTTTGATGTATCCTCCTAGACTATGAAGGACCAATACAGTATGAATTAACGAGAGTCTGAATTTAATTAATCAAAATGATGTTTGTAGCTAGTCTTATACCAGCTTTTATACGGACTTATTATGTTTTGTGAACTTTTTTTGTTGATGACTTCCGTTCATAGGATTTTGTTGCTAATGAATGGCAGCGAACCAATACAGAACCGATAGAGAAGAATCTCTCTGAAGATGGTCGCAATATCCTTATACAAAGGTAGCCTCCACAAAGTTGCCACCGACGTTCCCCGTCGATGGCTCGTTCCCGCCCCCAAAATCTCTCTGAAGGACTTCCGGGTTCTCCTCCGCCGCCGATCTAAAGCTCTCTCTCGCCTCCAGTCCACCACCGAAGCCGAAACCGCAGCGGCCGCGGCTGTTCCTGCAACCTCTAACCCTAACCCCTCCCCTGCCGACATCGCTTCCAAAGTCGCAGTTCAGATTGTTCACACCCAAGTGGAGCAACCAAATAATGAAAAGGGGGAGGAGCGGCCGGAGGTTGGGGTTGAGGTCGAAGGCTACGAACATACGGTAACCAAAGCAGCTCATGGTGTGGAGTTCTCGAATAAACTAGTGGTGGAATCTGACGTGGTCCTTAATAGAAAGGTTGATGGTGTAAAGGCCGAGACATCAGAGAGACTGGTAAATTGCATTAGGGGAATATGATTCTAATCTTCAAATTTTGTTTTGTTTCTATATTTATATTTATTTCTGTTTATGAGCAAAAAGTAAATTCATGTTTAGTAATAAACCTAAATTATAAATCTATTCATATCATTAATAAATCAAAAGCATTAAAAGTTCATACTATACCTTGAAATGGTTGAATCAAAGTCCAACTTTTATTTGAGCCTTTGTTATGAAATAATGGTATGCAATTTAAGTTCCAAACAAATTTTGAACATTCAAAGCATACCCTCTCTTTAAGAATGCAAAACACAAAATCTATTAAATGAGTGTCAGACCTATTCCTCCGGTGCCTTGGGATAAGATTGTGCCTTCGAAATTTAGTAATGGCCTATTTGGTGATCCACTTTAGTTTACCATAGAAATGAGTTGGAACCTTCGCTCTTATATATTCTCCCTCCTTTGTGCATCCTGTTATTCACTAATGAGGTCCCTGTGTCTTATTTAAGTTTATATTTCGTGTTTATGATAAGTGATCATAGTAGAAATATCGGGATAAGAATTAAGTCAATGCATAACTTGTATGAATGCAAGAGAGAGAGTGTGTGGGCACACCCATGCCTAGGGCTGGGAAAAACGGAACCGAAACCCGGAAACCGGCCATGGTCCGGCCCAAATTATGATATCGGTCCGGGTTTTTTCTTTTTGACCAGCCAGAATAAAAAACCTCGGACCGAACCTGAAATTTCGGGCTCATTAACGGGCCCTAGAATCTATAACCCGACCCGGACCGATAAAACCCCGAAACAATTAGCTTTAATATAAAATCAATATAATATACCAATATAATTTATAAATTAATTCCTAGTATATGATTATAATCATGGTGGACGAAAAAATGACTTAATAACTTTTAGTGACTACAAGTATGTTCAATTTATTTACCGTAATGAGCATGAACACATATTTATAGTAACTTTAGTCACATTTTTATCCATAAATTTTATTTCGTAACATTTTTAGAACACCTATATTATTTATTTTTATGCATCTTAAACAAAATATTATGATAATTGTCTTCTTTGGATTTGAATTCTCGGTGATTTTGGAGACTAATATTTGTGTTATAATTTGCGGTTTGTACTTTTTATTACTACCTCTGTCCCTTAAAACTTTGCCAAAGTTGACCGGCACGGAGAATAATAAAGTAAAAACTGTATGGTTGAGGTTTGTGCAGAGGAGAGAGAAATAACAGAAACCATAAAATAATTGATTAAAAGGGAAAGTGACAAAGTTTTTTGGGACGTCCCAAAAAGGAAAGATGGCAAAGTTTTAAGGGACGGAGGGAGTAATTTTATTTGAAAATAGATTTTAAAATATAAAATAAAAATGAGACGATTTCACATTTGGGCTTTAACTGGCCCAACCTGAACCCGGACCAAACCCGGACTACAAAAAACCCGACTCGGACCGAATATAGTGGGCTTTGTTTCGGTCCCTAATTTTCATAACCCGCGACCTTACGGGTAATTTTTGGGTTTAGCAAAAACCTGACCCGGACCGGACCGATCCCACCCCTACCCATGCCTACTTCCATAAATCTACTAGTGTGTATGGTCTCTTATAATTCCTTATCAAACATATAGACGATGATTACAACAACACAATACTAATTTTGTAGAGGACTAGAGGTAGCTAAATGAACTAATGGTCATTTCACTCTTCAAATTTTCGAACTGAACAACAACTTTAGTTTGTTCATTAGGATAAACCACATTCCTTTGGCTGCAACCTACATTGAAGCAGGACAGTTTAGTTTCCAGAATAACTTAAGTATTTGGATTGTAATGTAGCCTGCAACATGCATACGGAGACACTTCGTCAATGATAGTTCATTGATGGGATAAATAGAACTAGTGAAATTCATTGGAGTGGGTAGTCCCGTACTTCATTAATGATAATTCATGGAAGCTTGCAGCTTAAGATGGAATAAATAGAATTAGTGAACATATGGTACATGGCAGAAAAGAGTGGAAGATGATGATTTGGTGGATGACCTTGAGAGATTTTCATCTATTGGTTCATGTAGATGGCCTGATGATTTGAGGTTGCAGTTTGATTTTGTATTTAACACGTTGACTAAGATTACTGTTTACCTGACAAGTACAAGTTCATCATGCTTTCTTAAACTATTATAAGAAAGGCATGATGTTAGGGACCGGGCCTATAGATACTAAGAATAAAGGACCGGGCCTATTAGAGTATTAATAAGAATAAAGTGTATAAGTTTAGTATAAATAGAAGATAGCAGGGGAGATTTAGTAGGCTGTTTAGACTTTATCATTCTGGGACTTGGGAAGATCGAGAGCTATTCTCTTTCTTTTGGGGGGCTTCGGCTCAACTGGGGGCTTCGGCCATTTGTTACGATTACTGTTCTTCTTCTCTAATAAAATTGCAGTTAGTTTTCTTGAATCTTCTTCTATAAACTTCTGTATTACTGTACATCCTTATCATTGGTATCAGAGACTGGTTGTAGTTGTGAATGGTTGGCACGAGGAAGAAAATGGAAGGCAGGATGGCAGAAATGGAACGGAACGTCGAGCGAGGTCAGCGGGAATTAGGTGCGAAGATCGATACGAAGTACGAAGAATTGCTGGCGATGATGCAAGCTGGATTTGCCGAGTTGAAAAATAAAAAAACGGATCGATCAAGAAGTAGGTCGCATCGATCATCTGCGTCGCATCGATCATCTGCCTCGCATCACACATCTACATCGCATCACACTTCTCACCATCATCGATCACCTCACCATCATCGTTCGCGACAATCGGCAAGTTCAGAGGGATCGGAAAACAATTCCGACTATTCTCCTCCACGTCGACATCAACACCGCCATCATCACAGGGAACGTCATCCTCATCATACAGGTAGAAAGATCGACTTACCTATTTTTAATGGAGAAGATGCTTCTGGATGGTTGGTTAGAATGAACCGATATTTTCGCTTGAATCAAACTGAAGAGGAACAGAAAATTGATGTCGCTGTAGTGGCCATGGAGGACCAAGCTCTCAACTGGTTTCAATGGTGGGAGAGACAGGCTACGCATCAAAACTGGGACTCTTTTACTCAAGCTTTGACCAAGCGATTTCAACCTGATATGGTACAAGATCCACTAGGGCCTCTGTTTAGCCTGAAACAGAAAGGGACAATTCAGGAATACCGAAATAAATTTGAAAAGGCTATCGCTTCACAAGGCCACTTAACTGAAGAAGTCTTGAGAGGAGCCTTTCTTAAGGGGTTGAAAAGAGATATAAGAGCAGAATTGAAGTTACATTGAACTAGGACGTTGGCAGAAGTTATGGATACTGCATCCGCGATTGAGAACAAGAATTCTGAAACTTTCTTTGTGAAAAATAAGGATGAAGGAAGGAGGAAATGGCAGACTACTCCTATCATGATCCAATCTTCAGGCCAGAAATGGGGAGATGAAAGCAGGAAAGAAGGTCCAAGCTGCGTATCTAATGAGGCAAGTCCCAGACTATCCCAAGAAGAACTATTAAACAGAAGCAAGAAAGGACTCTGTTTTGAATGTGGTGAAAATTGGGGAAGAGGACATGTCTGCAAGATGAGGAACTATAAAATGATCCTAGTGGAGAATTCAGAGGGTGAAGCTGATTCTGAAGTTGAATTACTGGAATCTGGCAGGGATAAGACCATACCTCTAGAATTGAAGACCATGCAGTTTTCTTTAAGTGATGAGATAGACATAACCCCTGTGAAAACATTTAAGGTGACAGGTAAAATGAGATGGCATGAAGGTGAAAACACAGTAAATGTACTCATTGATGGAGGTGCTACACACAATTTTATGTCACTAAGCTAGGTGGAAAAGTGGAGGATTCCCTATACTCCTTTTCAGGGAAATAGGGTGCAGTTAGGGAATGGAGAATGTATTCAAATCTGTGGCAGGTGTGCAGATGTAGATCTGAATGTGCAAGGAATTAGTATTCACCAAACTTATTACTTATTGGAGCTGGGGAGCACGGATTTAGTCTTGGGAATGGACTGGCTAACAAGATTGGGAGACACGGAGATTAACTTCCAAAGTCAGACCTTCAAATGGGAAGTACAAGGGCAGAAGGTGATTTTACAAGGAGATGAATCATCAAGTGAACAGGATGTTGAAGGAAGAAGTGTTCATACTGTTCAAAAGCATGAAGTAGTTGTCCCCTATATTGCAGCAGGCCGCACCTGGGTCTTCCAAAAATCTGCAGGAATCAAAGTTTTGGATCAAATTTTCTGGCGTCTGTGGAAATATGCTATGAATTACATAGAGTGGAAGATGGAAGTAGTAAAGCAAAATATCCAGAAGACAAATCTGTATTGGAGAGGGAGGGGTGCTAGGATGAAAGAAAAGAAGAAATTGGTGGCTGTGTCCTATCACCCACCTTGAGGGCAAGGTGGATGTTTAAGGGGGGAGTATTGTTAGGGACCGGGCCTATAGATACTAAGAATAAAGGACCGGGCCTATTAGAGTATTAATAAGAATAAAGTGTATAAGTTTAGTATAAATAGAAGATAGCAGGGGCAAGGTTGTCAAAGGCGTAAAGCGCACCTGAAGCGCTAGGAGTCTTCCAGCGCTTGAGGCGCAAAGCGCAAAAAAGCGCTCGCCTGACTCGGGTGAAGCGCATTACTTATATAAAGTCACATATACTATTCTATAAATACCAAATATGATGTATGTAACATCATATTGAACCAAATGCATCAAAAAAGCTAGGATTCACCAAAATAAAGTCATGATTCACAAAAACAGAAGTCTAAATTTAGAATTCATGGCTTTAATACTAAAAGTAAAACTAAAAGACACTGAAATCCGAGCCTATTTCCCCTCGCTAAACTTGTGAAGGACTATTCGTCATTAAAAGAGGAGTCAGTTTCTTCTCCATTATCTGATTTGTATTCCCCAACATCCTCTTCAATTTCTCCCTCACTTTCCTCATCCACAAGCCTACGAGTAGTACTTGAACTCGCATTTCTGGAGTGCTTTCTAGTATATCTTATTGGTTCTTCTGCTCCCGTTGCCCTACTCACAGCACCCCACGTCAAGCCATCACCTTCATCATCACTGAAAACCGAGTCATCTGCTGCACTTGCATTCACATTTCCAGCCAACCACTCATTGCAATCATCAATGTTATCTAAAGCAATCGGATCTGTGATATCTTTAGAGTCAAAGCGAGCTTTTAAAGTTGCATTGTACTTCACAAATACTAAGTCATTTAGCTTCTTCATTCCTAGCCTGTTCCTTCTCTTTGTGTGAATCTAGAACATAAAGAAATATACATTACTTGTTTTAAATGTTTAATATTTGATTCCTAGAAGTTGTCAATTCAAAACTTACTTGTTCAAACACGCTCCAATTGCGTTCGCAGCCTGAAGAGCTACAAGTTAGGCTAAGAACTCTCATTGCCAGCTTTTGTAAGCTTGGAGTTGTGCTTCCATACAAGCGCCGCCATTCAGCTGCATTTTTTAGATATTATGATTTATGAAGAAACTATAGATATATTACTTTATGGCTACTGACAGTACCTGGTGATTTAGTCTTTCTTGTCAAAATTGCCAAATTGATTCCAAAAAGGCCTTCAGCTCTTGTATACTTGGACAACTCATCAATAATCTCTAGTTGCTCGCTTTGTTGTGGAACTAACTTTGCGATACAAGCATAGAGTCCAGTTGTGATCTCATTATTAAATTCAACTTGAGGATCATCATAGAAACATGCTGGATTGAGATAATGACCAGCCGCATGTAGTGGATGATGGAGCTGATCTTCCCATCTTCTATCAATGATTTCGAAAGTAGCTTTATAGTTCTCTTCTTTTCCATTGAAAGCCTTTATTATAGCTTCTTTGGCTCTATCCATCGCTTCATACAAGTATCCCATTGCCAGGGAGATTTAGTAGGCTGTTTAGACTTTATCATTCTGGGAAGATCGAGAGCTATTCTCTTTCTTTTGGGGGGCTTCGGCTCAACTGGGGGCTTCGGTCATTTGTTACGATTACTGCTCTTCTTCTCTAATAAAATTGCAGTTAGTTTTCTTGAATCTTCTTCTATAATCTTCTGTATTACTGTACATCCTTATCACATGAACACTAAATTTGTAGTTTCATGCCCTATTATTTGAAGGCTCATCGCCTCATCCGTGTTCCGGATATTTTGTGTAGTAAAGGAGGTTATCAAGTGTAGTGATTTTTGCATGTTATTTTCATTACTTTGAAGCCTACGTTTTTCAAGAGAAGTGGTTTATTTCTCCAGAGTATGTTTATTTGAAAAATCATCATCGATCAAGAAAGCTGGTATACCCAAAAACATTTTCCATTGAGTTCTTGTATAAGAATGGGCGTTCTGTCTAACAATGCTTATAAACATTGTTTTCTACTTCCCAAATTTTACCAAAATCCATCATCAATCAAGAAAGGTGTCATAAAAAAATCATTTGACATTTTGGCCTGGAATGAGAATGGCAACCCTTGAAGTAGTGTTGTAAACCATTGTTCTTTTCCTCCATTTTACCTTTTTTGGTTTTTCATTTTTCACATCTTGAATACCTGATAGGCTGATAGAAATGTACAATCAGCTGAAATTGTTGTGTTTATGCTCTGGTGTCTGCCTAATTATGGCTAGCTTGTATTTTTTCTCTAGATATTATCTATTATGTTCTATTCTTTCCTTCTTGTTTCCATTAATCTGTAATTACCATGCTGATAGACTAACAACAAAGAGGATGTACCCAGTGATAAACGGATAAAAGAGGTTGAGCAGAAACTGGTAGTTTTAAATGCAAAGAAGCATAGTTTGGTGCAGTTGCTGAAGCAGGTATGCCTTGTGCTTTCATAGGTTTTTATGGAGGCCTGATTATATGTCCTTACTCTTTTAATCAGTTCCTGCAATATGCATTGCGACATGATGCATTTTCTGTCGCTTGACAGATACTTGGTGCTGAAGAGATACTGAAGGGGAGACAGTCTCAAGGAATAATGATGGGTCGCCCACCAATACCTCTTCAAGTAGATATTACAAATGACACTGGATCTATGACTAGACTTGGCACACCTAGAGTTGGGTCAGATGGACTCAGTACTGAAGCTGAAGGAGAAGGTGATGATTTTTCCAACCCAAACATGCACTCTCGCAACTTGCTTCGTATGAACAGTACGTCACCATCTCCAGACTCTCAATACAGGAAGCCTGTTCACAATAAAGTAAGTACACAATGAGTTTTAAAGAGGCCAAGAGGGCTAATGCACACTGTTCCTTTTTTAGCATTAGGTTAAGATTTATATTGTAAACGTTATTGGCATTTATTGTTAAGGGCTTATTTATGAGGAACCTAAGAGTAGTTGATAGAACACTGGTAAATCCGACTCAGAACACAATGAAATCACAAGCAATTATCAAGAAACAAGATCAATAGGAAGTTTATTGATGTAGAAGCAGAGTACAGAAAGTATGCAGTGCCTAGGACAATTCGAGATGCCCAGTCTCCCAGCCTATTCTCAACCGAATACTTGCCTGCCTCATTTGCCTACCCTCCCTTTCTATTTATAGTACAAGCCCACTTATTATTATCATCTAATTAATAGGCCCACTTATTATTATCTCTAATAATAGGCTCATTCCTATCACTACCCCCCCCCCCCCCCCCCCCCCTAAACAACCACCTTGTCCTCAAGGTGGGTGATAGGAACCAGCCATGATCTTCCACTTCCACTTCATTCTAGCACCTCTCCCTTCCCAATATATCCCAGATTGCTTGGTCATGACCTTCATTACTTGACCTTTCATCGTCACTTCTTTCACAGCAAACAGGAGCAGAAACTGGAGATGAAAACTCCCTGGAATTATGTTGTCAAAGATAAATACTTCTTTCACCCCTTTCTGCAGTGTTCCTATCCCCATATCCACTTTGACCAAGCTTGTGACATGAAATTGAATGAGGTCCTACCTGTTTTACATGATAACCAAACCTTGAAGCCTCTTCATTGTAATCAATATCATCATATAAAGGTTCTGCAATAAAAAATCCAGCTGCCCTTGTAGTAGCTTCAGCTGATTTATGAAAGTTCAGTTCATGTCCTCCTGTCAAAGTGCCAACCCACGAGTTGGTAGGTGAAATAAGTGTACTTGGACTTTTTCCATCTCGAAGTACAATAGCAAGAGAAACAAATGAACCACACTTATCTTTGCATACAACAGTCCCAATTATACTCTCTTGCACCTGATTAACTTAAAGAGGTAAGAATTTAAAGTCTGGAAAATTCTCAGTGCTTGCTGCAATTGCATATAAACTGTTCTCACTAGGTGAAACCTCAAGACTACACCTTCCACTGTCACCTATCTTCTTTTGTTGGTGTGTCCAGTTTTCTAGTCCACGAGTAATAATTACTCCTTCCATCAAATCATCTTTTGGAGATGAGTTAGAATCTGAATCCACATTATCTATACCTTCCAGATATTCTTGTGCATATCCCATAGATTGCTTAATACCATAATTCGTATCCAGTTCCAAACCTGAAACAGATGATACCTGTGAAATCCCATTCTGGATTCAACTACATTTCTGGCTCCTGAAACAGATGATACCTGTGAACGATTGAGGAATCCAGCAACTGTACCAGCTTCAGGTCCTCCAGCTACTGTAGATTGCTCATCGTTTTTGTCTTCCGTCGGTTTCTTGATTACACACTCAGTTGATTTCAACTCAGTGTTCAAGCAGAACTTGGATCTGGGACTTGGGAGTGTTGAGACTACTCGAAGGTATTTTCTGTTTCCAGCTACGAAAAGGAGTACCTAAGTGAAATGAATTCTTGGATGAATAATCCACTGGAATCCAAGGCAACAAATCAAACATGTCAACAATCATATGGATCTGATGGTCAAGCACAACCACATGCTTTCCCATCCCTTGTGTCAATATTAGCAGTCTGACCCCAGCAGCTTCCCTTATTCCTACCCCTTGCTCAATCACCCCATGACCTTACCTTGAAACATCCAGGCAGTCTCCATTAGAACCATAAGGCCTTCCATGTTGTTCCCTCCCACTGCTTTCAGCACACCATCTGTGGTCCCTATAGTTAAGAACTCCAATTCGTCTTCTGTGATATGATAGTGGTGCAGTACTTTTTCAGCATCACTATTGTTAGCTACTTTCATAAGTTCAGAATTATAATCGTGAACATAGCTCAAACTATCAAACCCTGCAGAGGAATTATTTTGATTGTGCATTTCAATTTTGTCCTTTGTCTCAGACTTTGATTCATCCTCTTCTATTTCCTCAGTTTCCTCTATACAGTTTCCTCTATACAGACTGTCCCCGTAGAGCTTTCCCAAATATTTGAACCAACCATTTTATCAACGGCAGATTCATATTCCATGAAAATGGACTGAATCACCACAAAAGTTTTCTCCCCTCGTTCCTCATCACCAATGATGAATGTATCTTCAGAGTTAGGATGTAGCTGACTCACAGACTGCTGCGGAAATGAAACTGACTCCATTTGCGGACTGTGAGAGGCAGAAATATGCGAAGAAACCTGCAGTGAGTCCTACAAACTGTGATAAGTCGTGCGCTGAGCTCTGCGAACTGAGACCTGCGAACTGGTAGACACTCTTCGCGACTGCGAAGAAGTTCGTGATTGTGAATTATGAGATGACGTTCGCGAAGAAGCCAGATAACTCGAAGGAACTGCTCGCGGCTGAGAGTAGACCTGCGCACGCGACGAGTTCTGCGAATTAGGCAAAACAGTTCGCGATGGCGAGCTGGGAACTTCTACGTGCGCACTTAGCGACACTCTAGGAGAATTAGTTCGTATCTGCGAACTGAAGGACGTTGTTGACGAGGACTTCTGCGAACTGAGAGAACAGTCCAGCGACGAAACCAGAGAACTTGAAGAAGTTTCTCGCGATTGAGAAGAAAATTGCTCAGTTAGCGACAATCTGGAAGAATTAGTTCGCATCTGCGAACTGAAGGAAGTCCTTGGCAACCGCGATCGTCGTTTAGTCTGGAAGAGTTCTTCCATCGCAGCTAGCTTTCTGTCAAGGTTTTCCGCCATTGTTTTCATGTCTGTTAAGTTCTTCTTCATCGATGTCTGATGCCTCTCCCACGAATCCCTCATATTCTCCAGCGAATCCATCTTATGCTCTGATACCAATGATAGAACTCTGGAATTCTCTAACTCAGAACAGTATACAAATCAGTAGAAATGAACATGAACAGATTGAAACACTTTATTCACAAAGATGAACAGATCACAGAAGGGATACAAAGCCTGTGGACCATTCAAGATGCCCAATCTCCTAACCAAAACTCAACTGAGTACTTGCCTGCCTTCTCCTTTCCCCCTTCCTTGCTATTTATAGTACTTCTATTTATAGTACAAGCCCACTTATTATTATCTCTAATAATAGGCCCATTCCTTATAGGGCCCTGGGTTGTAGAGAATAATAATAGTAGTAATAGATTAATATTAAATAATTGTGATAGTATATTAGAGGTCCTGGGCTAGGTACTAGTTAACTTTGGGCTGGCCCATAAGTAAGAGTATAAATAGAAGGGAGGGAGAAAGAAGAAGGCAGGCAGAACTTGGATCTGGGACTTGGGAGTGTTGAGACTACTCGAAGTGTCTCTATCGTTCTTTTCTTCTCTCTGTTCTTCTCTGTGTACGACAATTACAATCATCCGCCATTGTAATAGCTTATGTACTCTTTTCTTCTGAATTAATATACAGTAAATTGTCTGGTTCCTATCATTGGTATCAGAGCACTCACTTCTTGGAGGCAAAGGATCTGAATCGATCGAGAATATTAACTACCTGGAAGCATGGAAGAATTCTGTACACCAGAAATGGAGAAGATGATGGATTCGCTGGAGAGGAAGCAGACATCTATGAAGAAGAACTTAACAGATATGAAAACTATGGCGGAAAACCTGGCCAGACAGCTAGCTGCTAGGGAAGAACATTTACAGGCGAGAAGGAGATCGCGAGTGGTTACTACAGGGTCGAAGGTGTCTTCACCAGTCGCTCCTAATCGTTCCAGTTCTCCGTCGCAACTTGTTCCTCATAGATTGTCATCCCAAGTCGGCTACCTCGTCAGTTCGCAGAAATCTTCGTACTCGCGGACTTCCTCTCTCAGTTCGCAACCGCGAACTTCATCAGCCAGCAGTTCACGACCAAGTTCGACGCGATCGAGAGGAGAAGCTTTCTGTTCGCAGTTGTCATCGCAAACGGCTTAAGTTCCATCGCGAACAGTAGTTTCCAGTTCTCAGATGTCGTCTCAGTCGCTGACATCGTTTCATCTGTCCCAGAGTTCAACGCTATCATATATTTCCAGTTCGCAGGGATCATCGCTAAGCGCACAAAATTCTTCGCACAATCCGCATCGCAGACATGTGAGAGATTCCGTTACTCCAGAAGGTTCAGAAGGTAATTATGATTACTTACCTTCGCATCAGGAACGCAATCACTACAAGGGCCATCCAAGTTTTAACAGAACAAAGAGGGAGATGGAATTACCCCTTTTCAATGGTGGTGACGCTTATGGAAGGATGGAATTACCCTTTTCAATGGTGGTGACGCTTATGGATGGATGGATAGGATGGAACGATATTTCACTCTCAATACTACTACAGAAAAAGATAAGGTTGAAGTCGCAGCAGAAGCTATGGAGGATAGGGCGTTTGACTGGTTTCAATGGTGGGAGACTCAAACGAGAGAGAAGAGTTGGGAGGTTCTGAAGGCAGCCATAACGCGGCGTTTCCAACCTACACACAGTCGGAAGATAGAGAACAAGGAATCGTCGACAAGAACTTCTCTCAGTTTGCAGAAGTCGTCGACAACATCTCCCAATTCGCAGGCTTCAGTATCGACTTCCAGTTCTAAGGCTTCGTCACGAACTGTTTATCCTCAACCATCTTCAACGCAAATAAATTCTCCCAGTTCACTAATGAGAACCATTTCTACCAGTTTACAGATGACATATCAAGTCGCGTCTCACAGTGCGCTAGCTTCATCAGCTTCATCGTTCTTACTCGAAGCATCCGTTTCCGGAGATGTAGACTTAGTCGAATCAAGGAATGGATTGCTGGGAAATCCACCACCGACAAGGAACACTGATCGGAAGCCGGCTGTAAAGTCAATCATGGAACCCGATTCGGAAAATAATACAACTCAACCGTCCCCACTTGCAATGGCTTCGCAGAATCTGGGGCAAGCTGATCCTAGTGTTCCTAATGATAAAAATTACAATCAACGTGGCAGTGAAGGTACTCGAAATTCTACCACTAGGGGTGTGGAGGTTCTGATACTGCCTATTAGGACAATGGTTGCTGCAGCTCATGCTTCATTGGGACATTCGGTTTCTGAAATCTGAAGCTTCTCGAAGTGCTATGGAATCCTTCAACTCGGTTTTGGGTAAAGTTTATCATGCTACTTCTGAAAATGTTACTGTCAATCTTAGGTCAATGAGTGAAGTGTCAAAGGGATTTGAAGTTTTTTCTAGTTCAGTACTCCCTGATGAGCAGATACAGGTAGAGGAGAATGCTGGTGTTCAGGGCATGAACACAAATTCTGCTATGGCTGATAATGGATTGACTCACAACATTGTTTCTCAAGAGACTAAAGCAACTATACCATTCAGAAAGCTTCTGGTGGTTGAGCATAGCCTTCTAATTAATGAGCCTATAGGGGAATGGAAAGAAGAAAAATTCTCAGATTTGGGACTTTGGCGGTTAGAGAATCTGAAATCGCATGACAGCACTGTTGTGCACAACTGCTGTCAGCTGTTGAAGTTTTATGAAACAAATCCTGCTATTACAAGTAATTCTGTCATTGATACTAGCTGCCGTACAGAAAAGTGGATGAAAATTGGAGAAGTTTGCATGAGGCTGTTTGCAGACCTGAAGTTGAGCTACATCAACCTTGCATCCAGCACACTGATAGTTTCAGAAGAGAGAACCTCAGAGGAGCCTCAAGAAAGCAAGGAAAAGTTTGTGGCTATTGAAGGCTTGAAGGTTAATGAAGAGAATGAAACTTCACCAGATAGATCCTATGCTGTAGAAACATATGTCAATTGGAAAGATCAAGTGCTGAAGATCCCCGCTCAGAAATCAGTGAGATACTGTGAAGGTAGAGGCACCACGATGAAGATGAAGTGGAAGATAAAGGCCGTCTCCTATCACCCACCTTGAGGACAAGGTGGTTTTCGAAGGGGGGAGATATGATAGGGCCCTGGTCTGTAGAGAATAATAATAGTAGCAATAGATTAATATTAAATAATTGTGATATTATATTAGAGGTCCTGGGCCAGGTACTAGTTAACTTTGGGCTGGCCCATAAGTAAGAGTATAAATAGAAGGGAGGGAGAAAGAAGAAGGCAGGCAAAACTTGGATCTGGGACTTGGGAGTGTTGAGACTTGGATCTGGGACTTAGTTCTGCATGATGTTCAAAAGTATTTTAGCTGATGTGAAAGAAGACTATGCTTGTATGAGTTTTGTTTACATCTAGAGAACCAAATGATTGCATCTAGGGTTAGAAGAAAGCAGAGGGTTAGCCTAATCCGCCCACCTTCTGCAACAGAAAGTCAGAAGTAGAATGATAATTTTGCTATCAGACTTCCCTGATGGCTATCACATCTTTATCACATTTTTTAGACCCTGACCCCCTTTACAGAAACACTCACCTAATGGCTATTTATATGGACAAATTACTGTGCTAGAATTCTAAACAAAACGGAACTGCTGGAACCATAGTGGCAGAACTGCAATCTGACAGTTTCGGAACGAGAACCGAACTGGTCCATACCCACCCCTAGTGTAGCATTGTTGAGGCCCTACAGGGCTACAGTCCGGTGAGCTGGACAATCAGTAGGATCCCATCTTTTGCAGTGCAGTATAGCTTTGGGCATTCTCCCTCACTACCACCCATACGCATTGCACCAACCACAAAATAACGCTATTACTTCTATGGTTATAAAGAGTAGAATAAAAAAGTAACTATTTTAGTCTGTCTACTACACAATATTAGATATTACTCAAAACCTGGTATTCAGCTTTTTTTGACACTCGATTCAGCCCTTGATATTGCATCTATTTTATAGTCTCTTTAATCCTTTGTATGGACAAGAATGCCCTTTGTACCTATTGTGATGAGAGCCATGTATGTAGGAGGATTAAATTGGGTCCAAATTGCAGTCAGGGGAGGGCCAATGGACTCGTAAAAATAATTCATGGACAAAATCGATTTATTAACTCTAAGTAGTATCAGCAACCTTTCCAGTAGTAATTCTGAAAGGCCTGTGATGGCATCATAAACATTTTATTTTCTTACTACATATTCTCAGCTACTTGCTCAGCATTTTTTGTTTCCTCAAGTGATCTCAGTTTGCGTAATTATTGTGATGTTCCCGACTGATCTTCTCATAGTCTCTTAGATACTGATATGCATTCAATGTCTTCCAAAACAGGCCCCTTTCTCTTCACGAACTACTAATATGGGTGTCATAGGAGGCACCCCCTCCAGTTTTGCACCCTCTGGGCAACAAGGACTCCCTTTAATTCCACCACCCTCTGTTTGCATACCAGGGACAAGTAACATCACGTCCACACCTTCTCCAGCTGCATCAGGTGGTGGCACCCCAGGATTCCGGGATGCCCATCTCTCAGGTCCGTGGAGCTAGGAGGGAGAGGGGGATGCGCTCTTCTTGGTGTTTGAGGTATTGGTGTCACCTGACCAGACTTGTTTCGCAAATTGGTTTAGAACCACATACATAGAACACAATGCAAAATCATAGTATCAGTTATTGTAGTAACACGAATGTGTTCCTACTGTGATATAGAACCATGTTTTTGCTAATGTCTGCATTTCAAATCTTACTTTGTCTACCGCAGTACTCCGTGTTTTGGCCGCAAAACTGTACATTGCCTGTTCCAGATTAATTCTTTATTTGTTTCTCCTCTATTTGCTGTACAAGTTTTATTATGACTCCAATCCTACATTTCCTGTTTTAGTTGGGTTCATGGGTATGAACTGAGATTTTGGATAGATTGGGGACTATGCGGCAAGAAATTGAGACATTGCTAGTTTGCAATGAGATAGTTAGGTTATGTAGGTATCTATGAGTTATGATGCTACCTATGTTAAGCGCAACCATCCTTAGACCTAACTAGTGTAGAATAGCTGAGACCTACGTTCGCTGATGGGATGGCAACGGGGTGGTTCGAGGTCGGGTATACCATTACCCGTACCCGCCCCGTTTGATAATATTTTTCCCCGAAACCGCCCCGTTACCCGTCGGGTATTTTTATCCGCGGGTAACAGTTTTCCCCGCGGGTAACCGTTTTATTAAAAGATAAATTTTTTTCTTCAAAATTAGTATAAATTCTAAAATGATGATTAACTACTTATAATTGACCACCTAAATTAAAATCAAAATTAAATAGCACCACATATAAAGTTTTTTAAAACATTACAAAAAAATGCAATCATTTGAACCTAATATTCACAAATTATATATGTCTAGATTCAAAATTATGAATCTCTTACCACATCAACATCAAAAGATTAAGTCTTGTCTCGATAGTAAATTCTAAATATGAATCACAAAAACATTTAACTTCCAAAAATTCAATAATCATACCCCACCAGCATTCAACATCTAAATTTAAGAACAATGACGTATACAAGTAACATAATGAAAATAGGAAGTTTTTTCGTAAAATATTACTCCCTCCGTCCCATTAGAAGATTCCCGTCCACTATTCTCATGGTCAACTTAAATCATTTTTAATCTTTTACTTTATAAATCAAATTTTTACCAAATTTACATTTTTTTATCAGGCTTTGCAGCGGTTTTAATGTAGTTTCTTAATATGTTAATTTTATTTACTAAAAATAATCAGAGTGTGAACAAGGATTAAGTTGCTTTATCATCAGTCAAGCATCGTAAACCGTTCACGGGAACCTTCTAGCGGGACGGAGGGAGTACTAATAAAAAATATATGGACATAGATGCGACTATAAGTTATCATGGGTAAGTTTTATAGTCACTCATTTTCATTTTCATTTACCCCAGTGCTGCAAAGGCTCCCACCTACGGTGGGGTAAGGGGGGATCGGATGTACGCAGTCTTACCCCTGTACTAAAGCACAGAGAGACTGTTTCCGGATGACCCATAGGGAAAATCCCATAGTGAAAATCCCATCCAAAATTGCATGGATTGGCTGCTGCTTCATAACAAAGAAGCGCAGACAGTTTAGTGAGCCATTTTGCTTTATTCCATCATAATCTCAAGCCAAAAAATAATGAATCTTTGGCTCCATTGCAAATGATGGAAAAAAGTTTTATAGTCACTACGATGTAATATTTGAATAAAATTATATACACGTACTAAAGTTACTAGAGTCGCATTTTTGTCCACAACTTTTATTTTGATTATAGATTTGGAATTATTTCTAAAAATGTACTTCGAATACTATGATTTAGGTATTTTTGTAGTTACTATTTTAGAAACCTCATAATTTAAATTTAAATCTTGATATAAATTAGAGCAACCAATCAAAATTAATCTAATCATCCAATACACCTCTACAAAATTATTAGCAATTACATAAATTAAAGCAATCTAGAGTAATGTTTCCCAATATTTGGACTTTAAACTCATATGTGAGCTTTATGAAAGTTATTGGATGAAAAATTAAGAGAGTCACAATGTGAAAATTGTGTACAGAAAATCACGAAAATCAAATAATCAATATGTGAATAAAATAAATCTTGTAGAAGTTGACAAAGGAAGGATGATGAATGATATTGAAAATTAAAAATCTAAAATAGTGAACTTTGAGCACCAACTCCTCAGAATTGCAAAGGATAGTCAATTAGTTGAATATTTTTCAAAAAATTAGAGGGAATAAGTGTCATATACTAATGTATTACTATTCATATATACTTAATATATTAAATAATAAATACATAAACTATTAAAATATGTAAGTTAATTGTCCGGGTCGGGTAATGGTGCGGGTAACCGTATCCAAATTAAACGGGGCGGGTAACGGGGCGGGTAGGTATAAACCCATAACCGCCCCATTACCCGTTTACATAAATCGGGTATTCCCCGCCCCATACCCGTTACCCAGTCAAAGCGGGTTTCCCCTGTTTGACCGGTTCGGTTCGGTACGGGTATCCATTGGGTCGGGTTAAATTGCCATCCCTTAGTTCGCTCTGTTCGTATGAAGGTTTTGGTTGGAATTCTAGAAAAAGGCTCAAAATGGAAGGCACCATAGACACACTATAATAGTCTGAGGTAGTTTTCAACTATAGATTCATGGAAAAGGTTTTGATTGATATTCTAAAAGAAGGCTCAAATTGTAAAGCACATCTTCTGACACACTATGATAGTTGGAGGTAGTTTTCCCAATGAAAGATGTCGATAAGCTTTAATTGAAGTTGTCATTTATAAGTCCAAAGGTGTAAATTGCTAAATTATGAATTAGGAAGTCTTAAACCTCCATATGGAAACTTTCATTTATGAGTTAAGTCTGTTTAGTGCTCAGAATTTCTGGTTAAGAAGGTTTGGAAGTGAGATGAAATATGAATGAAGAAGTTTTAGTCTCACTAAAAATGTAGCTCTTTAAATTGTTGTATAAGCTAACACATTTAAAGGAACATAGTTCATGTAACATGTTTATGTGGCCTGCGGCATACCGTTATGGGCTCGTTGCATGGCTCTGGTATTTGAGTGAATGTCTTAAGTCAGCTTTTTTGGATAAATTCAGTTTTGTGAATTGTTCAATTGAGGTTCTTATGACCCAAAACGTTAAGAGATGAGGCCTTCTTGATCTCCTGCTATATATAATAGAGCTATTGATTTCCATTTACGTTATGATCTGAACACATTTTGCATATACAAAAATCCGTCTGGAGCATAAGATTGTACTAGCTTGATCTGAACAAAATCATATTGCACCAAACAAAATCCTGTGCACCAAACAAAATCACTGCTAGTGTAATCCTATGCATTGAAACACATTTTCTGAATAAATTCCACTTTTGGTCCTACGAGTTTTAGGTCAATTCCACATTTAGTCCACATCTTTCACTTTGTCCACTTTTGATACATGACTATTATGTTTTCGCCCATATATGGTGCTTCCGGCATTGTTTCTGTTAGCTATTTTAAATTTACTCGTACATATCTATTTAATTGTAATTAGATAGCTATTGTTCTTAGTCAGGGTTGTTAGCATAGTTTTAGCTTAGATCCTATATTTTAGGAGTTAGTTGTTAGTGATGTAATCTATTTAAATTGACAGTCTTTGAATGAAAGATTCATTCCTCCTAAATCAGTTTAGCTTTCATGTTATCAGAGCCGCTGATCACTCAATGTGATACCTGCTTTCGTTCGTCCGTAAAGGAGAGAGTGATCTGATTTGCCTTTGACCATTCCAAATTGTTCAATTGATCGACTGAACTTCCCAAACCATGCACGAGGACTCTGTTTCAGACCATAAAGAGATTTTCGAAGTCGACAAACTTTACCATACTCTCCCTGAGCAACAAACCCCGGAGGTTTCTCGATGTAAACTTCTTCCTGAAGTTCACCATGTAGGAAGGCATTTTTAATGTCCAACTGATGTAAGTGCCAATCATGAGTTGCATCGAGTGAAATAAGTAACCTGACAGATGTTAATTTAGCAACAGGAGAAAAAGTGTCAGAATAATCAACACCATAGGTTTGAGCATAACCCTTCGCAACTAATCTGGCTTTCAACCGAGCAACAGAGCCGTCTGGATTAACCTTAACAGCAAAGACTCACTTACATCCAATAGACTTCTTCCTTGTAGGCAAGTCTACCAAATCCCAAGTACCATTAAGATACAAAGCATTCATTTCATCTACCATGGCATGACGCCATTCAGGATGAGACAAAGCTTCTTTAACAGATTTAGGAACAGAAATAGAATCGATGGAAGCAATAAAAGAACATGAGGCAGTGGATAACTGACTATACGACACAAATGAAGAAATAGGATGAGTACAAGACTGTGTACCTTTACGTAGTGCTATCGGAATGTCAAGATCTGATGTAGAGACAAGATCTGAAGATGCATGTATTGGTTCAGGACATGAGCTCAAGGATGGACCAATATAAGGATAAGTAATCACAGAGGGCATAAGTGATCTGGTGCTCTGTTTCGACGGGTGTAAACCAAGTGTACTGGCGGTCTGGGGTCGGGAACAGTAACATGTGGAATAACTACAGAAGGTGTAGATTCTGGTATAGTGACCGAGTAAATGAGTATTTCATCAGTGTTCCCATGAATATCTGTCTTGGATGATGAAAAAGGTGTATTTTCATGAAATGATGCATCAATGGATACAAGATATCGACCTGTACTTGGACAAAAACATCTATACCCCCCTTCTGAACTCGAGAATAACCCAAAAAATACATTTTAATGATTTAGGGTCTAACTTTGTAAGATGAGGATTAACGTCTCTAACAAAGCAAGTGCAACCAAATGTTTTAGGTGGGATAGGAAAAAGCTCTTTATTTGGAAATAGGCAGTGATAAGGAGCTTTACCATTTAAAACAGAAGACGGCATACGGTTTATCAAAAAACATGCGGTAGACACGGCATCTGCCTAAAACTGTTTAGGCACATTCATTTGGAATAGAAGAGTCCTTGCAGTTTCCAACAGATGTCAATTCTTTCTTTCAGCGAATCCATTTTGAGGAGGTGTGTCTGCGCATGAAGTTTGATGAATAATGCCATTTTGAAGCATAAAAGTTTTAAACGGAGCCGAGAGATATTCTTGGGCATTGTCTCCCTTCAACACACGAACAGGAACATTAAATTGAGTTTTAATTTCAGCACAAAATGCAGAAAAATGAGTAAATAACTCTGATCGACGTTTCATAAAGTATACCATGTCATATGAGAATAATCGTCAACAAATGTAACAAAATATTTGAAACCAGATTTGGACACAACAGGACATGCC